TGGCTGGCGCCTTAGCCGGTTGAGCTATAGGCGCCGAGCCACAAAATATATTTTAAAAGCATAGATCTATCAAGGGACATTTCATTTAGTTAATAGTGATTTTAAGTATGTGTTTGTATAAGCTATCCTTCCAAATTTATCATTCCATAGTTTTAGAATTTCACATCTCTAGATTAGGCATTGAAGTAGCCTAAATTACACAGAAATACTAACAAAACTGTCCATCTGAATGTGAAGGCTTTTGGATCCTATTTATTTAGGTACTAATACCAGCCAACAATCTGTAGGATGGACATGGTAGCTTACACTTGTGATCTTTTTTTTTGTTTGAGACAGAGCCTCAAGCTGTCCTCCTGGGTAGAGTACTGTGGCATCACAGCTCGCAGCAACCTCCAACTTCTGGGCTCAAGCGAGTCTCCTGCCTCAGCCTCCCAAGTAGCTGGGACCACAGGCCCACGCCACAACGCCTGGCTACTTTTTAGTTGCAGCCGTCATTGTTCTTCGGCAGGCCCGGGCTGGATTCAAACCTGCCATCTTAGGTGTATGTGGCTGGCGCCTTAGCCACTTGAGCCACAGGCGCCAAGTTGACACCTGTAATCTTAGCACTTTGGGAGCCTGAGCTGACCGGTTTGAGACCAGCCTGGGACGAAGTAAGACCTTGTCTCTAAAAAAATAGCCGGGCATTGTGGCAAGCATCTATAGTTCCAACTACTTGGAAGTCTGAGGCCAATCAGTCTACCGAGGGTGACAAAATAAGACGCTGTCTCAAAAAAAAAAAAAAAAAAGAATTATTTGTAATCTTACAATGGCTTCCTATCCTTTGTTTTTAAGGAAGACATCATTAACCCATTTTTAGTAAAGAATGAACTTTGAATTATTTCTCAGGGTTATGGATTTATACCAATCCTATATGTGTATAAAGATAAATGGTATAATAAAATATTATGTGAATAATTTTTTTTTTTTTTGAAACAGAGTCTTAACTATGTCGCCCTCAGTAGAGTGCTGTGGCATGACAGCTCACAGCAGCCTCAAACTCTTGGGCTTAAGAGATTCTTTTCCCTCAGCCTCCGAAGTAGCTGGGACTACAGGAGCCCACCACAATGCCTGGATATTTTTGTTGTTGTTGTTGTTGCAGTTGTCGTTGTTTTAGCTAGCCTGACCAGGTTTGGATGCGCCAGCCTCGGTGTATGTAGGTGGCGCTGTAACCACGGTGCTACAGGCACTGAGCCTATAAATAAATTTTTGAAACTTGAATATAAAAGCAACATAATATCCTTCACCATATCTGAGTTGTTTGGGAATGGGCAAAGTTAGATAGTGACTGATACACAAGTCTGGAAATGATTAGGGACTTGGATTTGTGCTGGTAGATGTAATCTGAATTTTTTCATTATGAATGATTAATATGGAACTTTCTGATTATATTGACTTGTAAAAGAGTGATTTTTTTTTTTTTTTTTTTTTGAGACAGAGCCTCAAGCTGTCCCCCTGGGCAGAGTGCCATGGCATTACAGCTCACAGCAACCTCCAACTCCT